TTTCCGTCACTGTAGATGGATCCTTGTCTCCTGTAACATGGTCAGCTTCTGTTATGCAAATCCTAGTTTAAAGTGTGCAGTAAGAGGACAATCTGGTATGTGTACAGATGCTGAACTGATGATGAGAGTGATTTCTTTGGGGGCGGAGGAGGGGAGAACACGGGTCTACAGGATCTCAGGAACACGGAAACTGGAATTTATAGTTTTTCAGTCTCCCCATGAGAGGCAAGCAGGCTTGTATGGCAGATGAGAACTTCCTCAAACACAGAGGCGGGGCATTGCCAACGTTGGGGCTCAGTGACTCCCCTTACACCACAGCATTCGTCAGTGGATGAGCTAGGGCTCAGGGTAATACTGCTCCTGCCAGGAACTATAAATAACCATCTAACTTAATCCCCATCAGCTCTGATGACGACAGAGTTATCATCTCCTCTTCTCAGCTACAGAAACTAACCTTGGAGACAGTACCTAACTCTCAAGATCACATGACTGTAGAGCAGCAGCAGCGGGGATCTGTTCATGTCCCCCCTTCCTACCCAGCATGCCCCTGAGAGCCCTGTACCAGTTTCAGGAAAGGAACAAGCAAGTGTAGAGGAGGTAGATGGACATGCTCATCCTAGCATCTGGGAGGAGGCAAGGCTGGCACAAGGCTGCCGATAGGGCAGCCATGTGGTCCAGGAGGCGGAAGAAGTGGACACTAAAACACATATGCAAAAGCAAGTTCCTCACAGGACCCCTGGTTGCTCTGGCCATGGCCTCAAGGTGTGCCTGGGTCTGTCCCAGGTCACTGTGGTCTGTAGGGCTGGTGAATCCACTAGTTGTAGCCCCTATCAACAAATCTGCCATTCAGAGGTTCCTCGGGCAGCCAGCTCCATGACAAAGTGACCTCAACCACTGGAGTTAAACGGGAGCCTGAAACCTGAAGCTAAGTCATTGCTAGGCTGCCTAGTACTGTGGCCTTTTCGATGACCTGGGCCAGCTTGGCTCCTAGCTCCTGAAGGGTGGTCTCCTTGGGCGAGGACTCTGAGAGGAGACTACACTCACTCCTGCCCTGATTATCCTGCATGCTCTACTTCCATACCCTTTGCTCCTGCCCAGGCTATGGAATGAAAGAAAGATCACTCACTTCTGCTGGAAAAGAAAATTGTCCAGCTGGGGCTGGGTTGCCAGATTTAGGAAAAACAAATAGGGTACTTTGTTGAATGCAACTTTTAGGTAAACAACAAATAATTTTAGTTTAGGTGTGTGCATACACTAGAGCACACTTATCACACAAAACATTATCTATCAAGTTCCATATCCCTGGTGTCCTATGGTGGTGCCTGTGATGGTCAGGGGTCAGATAGAATAGGAGGTCATGAGACAGATATGATAGATAGATGAGAGATGGATGGATAGAGAGACAGATGATAGGTACACAAGTAGATAGATAGATAGATAGATAGATAGATAGATAGATAGATAGATGATAGGTGGGTAGATGACAGACAGACAAACAGACAAACAGACAGATGACAGACAGCTTTCCCCACACACTGGAAAAATACAGAGGATCCTGTGACTTGCAGCACATCCCACAGCCAATTGGCTTCTGAGTCCAACTTGATGCCATTGCCTTTACATGAGCTGTTTCAGCTGTCCTATGACTTCATACTAAATTCTACAGGGTGTACATAAAGAGGACCCAAGTACTGCCTGCACTTCTAATGCACACACAGGCAGCCATTCCACATGCTACGATGGTAAACGTGAGGTGTGGGTTAGCAGAGCAGGCCTCAGGGGGCTCTCTCCCTTTGACCACTCACCCCAGTCACACAGAGCACCAGAGCTCATCAGGGGTCCAGTTCCAGACAAAGGTGCACCTGAAGGTCAAAGGAAAACAGGGCAGCAATCTACCCAAGATGACCAGGCCCTTGATTTTCAGATGAAGAAAGTTTGACTCAACCAAACTGTACCAGGGACCCAGGGAGGAAAGCATCCTCTCTCCATACTCCAACATGGCCTGACCCTGAAGTACTGTCCAGAAAGCAGTCAGTTTGATGTGTTTGTGGAGGGAAAATGTGAAAAAGCCATTTGTCAAATGCATGATGGGAAACACTTCTCCCCACCCTCCTGCAAGCCTGAGACATTTCACAACTCACAGTAGAGGGGAAGCCACCATAAAAATGACTTGCTGTGTGCCCTTTGAAGTACAGTAACTGTGGGACAAGTGAGTACAAAACTCACACAGCCAGGGGACTGGAGCCTATTCCTGCTCGGTGAATTTCCAGAACCGAGCATGTTGGACCCCGTGCTACAACCTTTTGTTATCTGTTTCTTTCTTCTTGTGGACACTATCAGATTCTGCTTATAACAAGTAACTTGTTCATGTCCCATCAGGCCACTTGGGGAGGTCTCTGAGCACCAGCTGCTAGGGGAGGGGCTCTGCAGGCATTAGGCAGGGCTGGTGCCTGGGTTGTGGGTCCCTCATAAACTGCTGTCCGTGTCTAAGGAGCAGGGGCCCAGGGGCCCAGCTTCACTTGTACTTGTGTTGCTAACACTAACTAGACTCTTCTCTTCTTCTCACCTTTTCCTCCCATCACTCATCCTTCCCTGGCCCCCAGCTGGGTAAATACTAAGCAGGGGACAACTAAGCAGGGACCTCAGGTCCCTGAGGTCTCTGGTTTCCATATGGATGAAGACAGTGTGCATATACTCATACACACACAGTCTGCCACCGGCCAAACCGTTCTCAGGCCTAGCAGATACTGAAGACACACACTGTAACAAGTGATCCCTGGACACTTTGGTGTGGGGACACTTGTTTGCTGCCTTGATTTAGTAACATTTAGGGCCTTTTGCCGCCTTGATTTAGTAACTTTAGGGCCTTTATGGCTGAGGGTCAGTCAGTGTCTGCTGAGTGAGTGGCTTTCTTAAGACTCTGCCAGTAGCAGATTCTCACTGTTCTCACTGGACATAATGATTAAGATGCAGAAAGTAAGGGCAACTTAATTCGAATCTACCACCTTTCAGGGGTTTCTTTTGGGAAGGCCAGATAATTAAAGTGATTTAAGTTCTACCATTGTAAGAACCTAGTTCTGCAGAAAACAAATATCTGCCCAAGATTATTGTCACAAATGTGATGAGGTTTTAATGCATCATTATAAAGAGAGGCTCCAACTTTATCTTGCAGGTGTTGCTGATGCAACAGTCTGACAACCAGCCAGTCTAAATGTCCTAGGTGAAGTTTCTGCAAGTCCAAATCAGACCAAATCAAACCAAATTAGAAAAAAGCCCCTGTTTAATGGATACAACACTCCCAGATGATTTTCCAGCCCCCCCCCCCAGAAAGCAGAGGGAAGAGAGAGCTGGGGAAACCACACCTCAGCTTTCTGGAGGACAGTTTAAATAACCTGTGGGATTGGTCTTGAGCATCTCTGGGGGAGGGGTCCTTATTTGTCAGGCTTTCTGAGATGCAGCTGGGAGAGGGGAGCTTGGGGTTTAGCTTCCATCAGAACAAGAGGGCCTGGGTGAGAGCAGGAGGGGGTTCACTGCATACAACAGCAGGAGGTCAAGCAGGGTGGAGCAGCTGTGAGCACCAAAGCTGGAGGGAGAGGAAGATTCTGCTCCCCTTTTTAAAGCAGCCCCAAGGCCTCAGCACTGGAACCTGGGACTTTACATTTAATGTTTCTTTGCCTACCGTAATTAAGGGCAGCCTTGTGTGGTCAACATGGCAGGGTTGTCTCTGGGGACCCTGAGTCAGCATTATATAAGGGGACAGCACACAAAGCCCCAGGAGCTCTCAGCTCATTTGAGGCCTTAGGAATTTCCTGTTATGTGATCTGAGACTCACAAGAGCCACCACTAAACCCAGCCTGTCTCTCCCTCCTTCTGTGGAGGAAAACTCACGCTCTGAGTCACTAGGTGCCAAGGCCAGCAGCTCTCTGATGACTTCCAGCTCCTCCGGTAATTGAGCCAGCAAAAGGCGCACAGAACAAAGGGCCCCAGGAGCCCAGGGAAGAAGAATTCTAGGTTTTCCGGTGCAAACTTCATCAGAGCTGGCTTTGGGGGAGGCAGCCAGTCAGAGGTGGGGGGGGTGGGAGGGGTGAGTCAACAACACTAGAACCTCAGCTCTGAGACTTGCTTTGGACCCAAAACTACTTCTGCTATTCTTACCTCTTTCTCCCTCTTTAAACATGATGTATGTGCAACATGGGCATAACCATTGCATGGGGCAGGGGCAAGGAATAAAGCACCACTACACCACCCCCTTTGTCCCTAAGACCTCTGCTGGCTTTGGACAGTATGTCCTTGGTTTCCCCTGTGATTTTTAGCACCTGTGTTTGCTTCGTAAAGCCTGCCATTTTGTTTTGTTTTGCCTATCATCATATACCGCTACTGTATGCTTAAAAAAAAAAAAAAAAAAAAAAAAAAAAAAAAAACCTGCTAACACTCAATTGGGTAGATACATTTTATTTAGCCATTCTGCTATCAAGAACATCCAAGCATGCAGAGAACATTCTTGAGCATGTCTCCTGGCTTCAGGTACAAGAGTTCCTCTGTGTTGCCTTGGGAAGAAAGTGCCTGTTTACCCTGCCCAGGGCCCCAAGCTGCTGCTGCTCCCTCCACACCTCTGTCACCCTCTCCTTAGGTGTGACAGCACCAGGGTGATGTGAGGTCAATGAAAACCCAGCTCACCAGGTGGGAGGGAAAATCCTGGCATTGCTGTCAGATGAAGCCTAGGATTTTTAACCCCGTGACTTAACCAGAGCCAACAACCAGAACTAGTGGGCTTTCCAGAGGATAAGATGCCCCAGAATCCCCCACTCTAAGGAGGCAGCCTCTCCAGCTCTGGCACAGTCCCCCCTCCCTGCCAGTGCCATCACCTGTCAGCCAGAGGTGCAAACTTGCTTCCAAGCACAGAGAGACCCCACGCTGCTGCACCCAGACGGCCAGGAGTGGCAGAAGAAAGGGCAGGATGGGAGGGGGTCCTCAGGCATCCTCCAACAGACAGCACCTACCTGTACACAGGCTGCATCTCTCTGGCTATGCCGATAACAGCACCTGGCAGGAAGTTGTCAAACTCCTCAAACAGCTCTCGGATGTTGGTCTTATACTTCAGGTCAAGGTCCAGCTGAATGATCCGAAGGATATCTAGAGGAGTAATTTCAAAAAAGGGCAGTAAGACTAGGCAGTACCATGCCTCTATAATTCAGCTACTCACTCCGGGAGGCAGGGATAGGGGGATTGGGATCTGGGACAGTCTGGGATACATAATGACTCTCAAAAGATAAAAATGACATATACAGGTTCACATCCTGGGAGACTTGGCACCTAACAGGAAGTAAAGAACACAGAAGGCTACCTGATTGTTGCTGTAGTTGTTGAATGATGCAAAGTCACTTTCAGTAACCAGAAGCCCTCTCTAACTGTGGAATCTACTGTTCAAATCCAAGGGCCATATGCCCACCTAGACTACTGACCAGGTATGTTTCACTCCCTAAGTGTCTATCCTGGATGGCATGCAGCATGGATGCCCTGTAAAGCTAGGGCATCCAGGTGACTTCACTTTGGGGCCCAAATGTCAAAGGCTGCCAGACAAGAGGTCTGGATACATGTCCTATAAGCATCTGGAAGTCTTCTTGAAGGAGGGGGATTTGGGCTGGGCCCTGGCTGTGGACAGGAATGGGTGAAGTAATATCCTTGCCCACTGTAGAACACTGGGGTGTGCCTCCACCCCTGATGCCCCGCTGCCTTTAGCCACCCTTTCTGTCCTGCTCAGCTGCAGGGTACCACAGCTCTCTGGAGGACAGAGACCAGCACTTGGCCATTTTGGCCTCTGTCAAAGGTTCAGGATTTGGCATTTGACAAAGTCTTTGGGATTCAGGAAGCAGTTGGTTTATGGAGAAATTACAATTTAGGATATAAGAAAAACTGATTCATTTGTTACTTGTTCTATTTGCCTTTGCGATGCAGAAACAAAGCCTTAATTGATATTCTATGTGACTTTTCTACAACAGAGAAGAGCCAAAGTTACAAGAGATGAGACTCTAGCTGCTCAGGACAGAGCACAGTGTGAGTGAAGCAGGCTGTTCTGCCCTCTGGGGGAAGGTTTGGAAGGAAGGTCTGCACAGGCAAATGAGGACCCCATGGCTGCCAGCATCACACTGTGACCCCCAGGGTGAAGATGCTGCTTCCCTCCCTCATCCAAACATTGACAAAACCAAAGCCTAGAAGTCCGAGCTGACTGCTAACCACTCGGGAGTCTTTGTGTCTAGAAGCCTTAGCAGTGATGCTCCCCTAAGACAAGGGGTGGAGGGTAGAACCAAGTCACAGGGGTCCTGCTGATCTAGGAGCCTCTTCTCCATTTCCCCAGGGAAGACTTTTGTCAACCTCAAGGTCCATCTACCCACTAATGGGTGGAATCCCCAGTTTTAGAAGAACTAGTGTCTTAGAAAAGTTAAAAGTAAGAAGCTAGAGAGGCAACTCAGTGACTGCTCTTCCAGAGGACCTAGGTTCAAGTCCCAGCACCCACATGGGCAGTTCAGAACCATCTATAACTCTAGTTCCAGGGGCTCTGACATCTCCTGTTCTCTGCAGGCATTACATACATGTACTTACATGGACACGATGTACAGACATATGCAGGCAAAAATATCCATAGACATAAAAATATACTTAAAAAGTAAAACGAAATAGGCAAGCCAGGCATAGTGGCATACACCTGTAATTCCAACACTTGAAAGGTGGGGACAAGAAGACCAGGAGTTCACAGCTAGCCTCAACCACACAGCAAGTTTGAGGTCAGCCTGGGCTACATGAGATGACCCCATCCCCACCTCCACCAAATAAAGGTGAAAAACAGGAGCCACGCTCATTCCAGGGGTCAGTGGTGAAGCGGAAATGGAACCCTGACTTGCCCTGAATGTAGCATGACTCTTCTCTGGCCAGAGTGGCTCACATGCAGACTTACAGAAGGGCTGAAGACAGTGAGAAACAGAAAGAATCCTAGGGCAATCACCTGGCCAAATGCAGATTTCAAAGGAAGCAAACACAGGAATTATGATAACTTCACCATAATTGAAACACTTGTGGTCCAGAAGCCATGGGCATGCCAGTGCACAGGAAAGCCCTCAGCAGCAGCTCTGGGCAAGTCCTCATTGGCAACCATGGCCTCATCTATCCCGCACTGCCAATATCTCCAGTCATCTATCATTGCCTCTTCCTAGAAAGCACATTCCTAGAGGACTGCTGTGCACTCAGAGGCTGTACTCATCTCTGTACTGGCCCAGTTTTAGTATTTACTTACTAAAGCATTGGAGAGACTTCCTGAAGAACCCCTTCTCCCTCACTGGTAGAGCCCTTTCTCTGCTCTTAGGGATGGCTAGGAATCTAGTTCCACAACACAGGAATCTGAGAAGCCTGAGCACTGTTTATAAGTCAATCCTAAAACACCTCTCAGAGATGCAGCATTCCTGTGTCAGCCCTGCATCCACAGGAGGTAACTAGCTGAAAAGGAGTGCAGTTGCAGCTCACAGCAGAGTAACTCTTCACCTGGGGGCAGAACACCAGACCCAGGCTGGACAAAGGACACCCCCATCTGTTCAGAGAAGTCCACAGCTCTGGGCAGCCTGCACTGTCACATGGACACCCAACCAAAGGCCCTTGTTTTATAAAATGTGGAAACAAGATACCAATGTCACTGTTGAAGAGAATGGTTCTTAGGAGGTATGTTATAGCCCATCAGGATGAGATTGCTTAAGGACCTGCTCCCCAAACGCTGGTCTCAGCAGAGCCATCTCTCTATGGGAACTACAGATGGGTGGTTGTATAGGAAATGTAGAAGAAATGAGAAGAGATTTTCATGAGAAGAGATTCTTATTTTATCAAGAAGATACTGGTGGGGGATGGTGGCAAGACCATATAAACTGAGGACGAAATGAAAGAATGGTCCCCAATGAAACTAATAAAAAAAAAAAAAAAAGTTGTGATGCATATGGAAAGGCTTTGGAGAGAATAATGATGTCCTAAAAAAGAATGGGTATTGTTCAGGCTGGTGAAATACTGGAGAAGAAGGCAGAATAATCCGAGATGACAGCTCTACAAAGAAAGCCTTGTGGGATAATCTTTTTGTACACTGTGAACTTGTGCCTTTGCCAAGTTGCCTTCTGATTGGTTTAATAAAAAGCTGAATGGCCAATAGCTAGGCAGGAGAGGATAGGTGTGACTTCTAGGGAGAGAGAGGAACTTGGGATGAATCTAGGAGTTCATAGCAAGATGCAGAGATATACATTAAGGAGGAAAGGCAATGATCTATGTGAAGAATGTAGATTAATATGAATGGGTTAATTTATGTTATAAGAGCTAGTTGGGGGAAAGCCTATGCTAAGGCCAAGCTTTTGTAATTAATAAAAAGTCTCCATGTCATTATTTGGAAAGTCTGACAAGAAAGTCTATTACAAAGCTTGGTAATAACTGAGGTCAACCTCCCGATTGTATAGATCAGAAAAGTGAGGGCCATCAAGACAAGGGATGTGTTAGGATACTCAAGCTAAGCAGCAAAGTTGATCCCAGAACTCAAATCCCCTCCCTCCTCACTGATGCTCTCTGGTTATTCACCTTCATCCATCCCCCCCAACCGTGGGTCCGAAAATCATAGAGAGCAAAAGAAAAATGTGTCCTGGAGTATCCCCAGCAGCCACAACCACATAAATCTAAAGATGAATAAGGAGTCTGAAAACAGAAACGAGACCATCACGCTCCACATGGTTCCAGCCAGCTTTCAGGGAAGTGCTCCATGTCCAACATATCCTCTCCACATCTGAGAAACCAACAGTCTTTACAACCTTAGGAATACAGCTGGGTAATGATAAATTCAAAGGGAGGCAGAAGCCACACTGAACATTCTAGACCCAAGGATGCCCATGGAGATACAGTTTCATTGTCTGGTGTGTGACCCCTGGCAGCCAGTAGAAAGTTACTTGCTGACCACAACTACCCCCTAACCCCCTGCTGTACTGATACCTACTTATTCCTAGAAAAGAGCCTGTTTCTGCATCCAGTGAGCTGAGCCTTCCCAGCACATCCCATGCTCACAAACCTGTTGGTGGGTTGGAGAAGTGATGGAACTATCTCCTTTGGGGGGGTACGTTCCTGTATACAGAGCAAAGCTCTCCATGGCCCCAGCAGCTGAAGGGCATACCTTACTCCCCCCAGGAAGCTCCTGACTGGCATCCTGGGGGAAGACAACGTGGAGGACCATCTGGCGTTCCCACTGTGGGGTGGCAGTCAGGGTGTCAGTGCTCTTTATAGTGGACGAGAGTCTGGCAAGCCACTGACGGATGTCAACCCACAGTGGGAAGAGGTGAAGAATCGGGGGGGGGCTCTCTGGTGTGGGCTTTATGTTCACAGGGATGTACCTGCCCATCTTCTCTCCTGACTCCAGTCTCAGGCCACAGAGATAGCTCTAACTAGAACTTGGCTCTGCTAAGCTTGGAAATGCAGGACAGATGGAGCATTCTGGCTACGGATGTGGTTTTCTAGACCTCTGTGACCCTACCACCACCACCATGGCTGGTCCTAGCAGCCCTCCTCCAGAGTTTCTCATTGTCTCTGGACTGTGCAATGCCTGCTGCTAGGGTTCAAGGCCAAGCCTGGAAAGGTGGGACTCTGCCACAGAAGGTGACAGTTATGACATCCAGACTGGCTGGGACAGTCCCAACTCAACAATCCTCTGTGGAAACCAGCTCAGAGCAAGTCATCATCAGCTTCCAATTAAGCCAGCCACAAGCATGTCATCTGACTACGGATGGAATTACAAGCCAGAAGCATACTTAATGATACCCCAAAACAAACAAGAGAAAAAAGCTTAGAAGGAAAAAAATGAGAGCTCACTCTTCCCCCACCCTCTTCTCTTGTCCTCAGAAACAATTCCTGGCAGACACATGCTAACATACATAAAACAATAGGCAGCACAATGCGTCAGGAAGGGATGTGCGTGGTATAGGTAAGCAAGACCTCCATGGTGGGAAATACCATGAGAGGAGAGAAAGGCCTTCCCAGAGAAGCAAGTCAACCGGCAAGCATCCTCCCCTCTATTTGGAATCTGCTTCTGCAGATGAGCTTCCTAGATAAAAGCATTTATAGCTTGTGGA